ATGGGACAATGTGGTATAATGGGTTACACATTGCCCTTTCATACTGCTGGGAGTGGGTGATACATGGGTTATCAGAATATTCCTTCAGTCTAGGACTGGATGAGTACACTGGGTTATCACGCTCTCCTTCTCACTCTGGGACCAAGGCTGACGGTCTCGCTAAAAGTTTCTGCTAGTTGTAAAGCTTGTATGTAATTCTGTTGTGTCATCCCCTTGTGTATCCCATGGTATCTGACTTGTGATAGAATGGAAACAGTTTGTTTGGTAGTCTCATGGCTGCAATTACTGGACTAGCATCTTAGCACATGATGAGGTCTAACTGATTTTGTGGCTGACCAGAAATATGAGAAATATCATCTGATTATTATTTAAAAGATTCCTCTGGGGAAGGGAACCTGTTCTGCTTAATTCTGCCTTGCCTGAGTAGCTCTTATTGTACACTCGCAGTTGATTCTTCATATCGTGAGGCTGGGCAATGAATGTTGCCCTTGCTAGGTCATCCACATTGCCTGGAATTAGAAAAAGCACGGGTGCTGATTGAGATTTGAGCAGTAACATTCAATGTGGCTGAATCACTTTTTTTTTTTTTTTGTTTCTGTTTTCAGAACCGCAGCTAGAATCTGGCGCTTCGAACATTCATTTGAGGTACAGCACTATCACTCCGCCAGCATCTCCTGATCCAACTGAGGAGAACTCACAAACCTATCTAGATGAGAAGATCCCAATCCCAGATGATAGCTCGGTGAGAATTTTCTTGCATACTAGAAGAATTTTTTAAAAAATGTTTGTGTATTTTTTTTAAGTTCTTCTTGCTAGTTCTTTTCCTGTTCCTGCTGTGATGGTGTTAGTTCTTGCTGAGATGAGCACGCTGACATTAGTCACCTTCTGCCATCTCACCAAAGTGACATTCATCGCTTGTTAACTTGAGATTTAAGCCTTGGGTTATTTGACTACAGGACCCACCCAATGCTCTCCTTGGCTGAATGAATGAGTCCTAGTTACGTGAAGTACAGCACCATTGAATCATAGAATCCCTACGGCGTGGAAGCAGGTCATCAAGTCCACACCGACCCTCCGAAGAGCATCCCACCCAGACCCTACCCCTCCACTTCCCATGGCTAATCCCCATAGCCTGCACACCTTGGACACTACGGGTAATTTAGCATAGCCAATCCACCTAACCTGCTCATCTTTGGACTGTGGGAGGAAACCGGAGCACTCGGAGGAAACCCACGCAGACACAGGGAGAACATGCAAACTCCACACAGACAGTCGCCTGAGGGTGAAATCGAACCCAAGTCCCTGATGCTGTGAGGCAGCAGTGCTAACCGCTGAGCCACCGTGGATGGGAGTAATCAAGTCAACTTAGGAGCAAATTACTGCAGATGCTGGAATCTGTACAGAAAACAACAAATGCTGGAGATCACAGCGGGTCAGGCAGCATCCACGGAGAGAGAGACACCAAGTAATGAGTCATCTAGACTCGAAGTTAGCTTGCTCCCTCACTGTGGATGCTGCCTGACCCGCTGTGATCTCCAGCGTTTGTTGTTTTCATCAAATCTATCTTGTCCAGCCTCGCTATGATTAGATCACGGATTGAATCTGGGCCCTTCCTGGCTAATGTAGTTGTGTGGTATACTCAACACACCCAGTAAGGTCCTAGAGAAGGCTCCACTTTAAAGGGTGAAGTACATATGAAGGATATGAGCCCAAAAGGGATCATTGTGAGGATGTAAGTTTAAATTCTAGTGTCAGATGAAGGTGTTTGAGCTCTTTGTTTCTGTAACTTGATCTCCTGACTGGCTTCTTTGCTCCTTATTGTTCTTTGTTTAATGGTGCTTCCTATCGGGTGAAACACTTAACGAAACCGGTTACCATGATTTTGGTCCTACTGTTGTTTTCCTTGAGGTCACAATGTGCCATGCCTGGTTACTGAAGTTTGAAATGGGGTCAGCCCTGTGCAGTGAATTTGATCATCCAATCCACGAGTCCAGCAGGATGCTGGATCTCAGGATGCTGGTAATCTTTGGCAAAACTAGAAAGCCAGTTTTGCCAAAAAGTCGAATGACACCAGTTTGGACAAACAATAGGAAGCCGTTCTGGTACACTGTAGTTCTAGCTGGTTCAATGCCAGATGTCTGACCGGAAGGTGCACATTTCTCAGTGGGAGATTCTTGAACATTGTGCTCTGGCTCTACCCAAGTGACCAAACAATACTTTATTTACCCAGTGTGATCTGATGATAGTACTAATACGACTGTTGCTTTGGCCTAATGAAAGTACCCTTGCCTCCTTAAGTTGCAAGACTGTGGGTTCAAGTCCTTGCCCAGGATTTCTATGCACCATCTGCGTTGACGTTCCAACATAGTACTGTGCTGCACTGTTGTAGGTGCTTACATACGTTTGAGCAAGAGACCTATTCTCCTATCCGGCTTCTGCTGAAAGAAGAGCAAGGAATTCTCCTCACGTTCTCCACCCTCAACTGCAGGGAAGAATATTAGTCAAGACACCAGGGAGTTTCAGCCAAACACCAATCTGTTTGTCATTAATTTTAAATATCCTATCTTGCATCCTCCTTTTATTGAAATAAGATATGAATAGACTGCTAGAAACTAAGTTTCTTGTGTCTAAGTGGCCTGACTTTCTTTTTTCCTGTCAGACTCGATTTAGCTTTCGGAAGCTCTGGGCCTTCACTGGACCTGGCTTTCTGATGAGTATTGCGTATCTGGATCCAGGAAACATTGAATCTGACCTTCAGTCTGGGGCTGTGGCAGGATTTAAGGTATGTCCAGCACTTTTTGGAAAATATATTATGCTTATGTAAAATTCCATAACACTAAAATGATCTGATTAGTATTCTATATATTGAAGATCCGAGGAAGTGCCAACTTGGGTCTTCTGACCTATGTGATGCTGGATTTTGGCCTTGAAAGAAAGCCAGGTGCTTTACTTGCAGGGTGTGTCAATGATATGTAGGATGCAAAGTTCATAGTGGAACCCAGTAATGTGTTCATGTGACATAACCTTAAAATTTTCCAAATTGTGAGACAAGGATTTGGAGTATCATGAACTGTGTGTAACTTGGTTTGTTCTCTTTCTGCAGCTGCTTTGGATCCTGCTGACAGCTACCATTATAGGACTGCTGCTGCAGCGACTGGCTGCACGTTTAGGAGTGGTAACTGGGATGCATCTTGCTGAGGTCTGCCACAGGCAGTATCCTAAGGTATGTCTTAAGGTTCAATGGACCAACCTACAATGCATTACGTACATAAGAATGTGAAGCAAAAAGCCATTTACCCAATAAACCTTTGCTTCATTGATAGGTGAAACCATCTATCCATCGGGGCGGCACGGTGGCTCGGTGGTTAGCACTGCTGTCTCACAGCACCAGGGACCCGGGTTTGATTCCAGCCTTGGGCGACTGTCTGTGTGGCGTTTTGCACGTTCTCCCCGTGTCTGCGTGGGTTTCCTCCGGGTGCTCCAGTTTCCTCCCACAGTCCAAAGATGTGCAGTGACCGTGCTAAATTGCCCATAGTGTCCAGGGATGTGTAGATTAGGTGGGTTATGGGGGATGGGTCTAGGTGGGATGCTCTGAGGTTCGGTGTGGACTTGTTAGGCCGAAGGGCCTGTTTCCACACTGTAGGGATTCTATGATCTATCTCTTTACCATAGCCAGAGGTACACAGGCAGGTATAATGTTATTGGGGGTAGATGGGAATGTGAAGTAATCAGATTGTCAATGATTTTATTGAATGATATAACAGACTTGAGGGGCTGAGTGGCCCATTCCTGCTCTTAATTAGTATGTTTGTGTTCTCTGTCACAAACAGACTTCTGCTACAGTACCAAAACGGCCTTTATTGAAGTCACTAATGGTGTCCATTGTGGATGTGATGCATTGTCTCTCCTTTAAAACTTAGTTGCTGATGCCATCCCCCTCCATTGTCCAACTCATTGCGATTCCCTTTGTTTGCTTCCAGTCGTGGCCAGAACATTGATTTGACAATGGATGATAATATTAAGATGGATGTGGGTGGTCTTTGTGAGAGACCACCCTTTTGCCTCCAGAATTGTCTGTGGATCTAAGCTTTATCTTCTTTCCTCATTCCTCTTTTAATCTACTTCAGTCACAAACATCGGGTCAGGTTCCACACTTGGGCTGACAGTGACCCAGATCGATTTTGCTATTTACCTCGAGTCATTTTTTCCCCCATACCCCAACATCAAGTCTGTTGTCAAGCTGCTGGACTGATATCCATTGAGATAAGTTGCAGTTTTTTCCAGCTAAACATTGGAAAGATTGAAGTCATCAGCTTTGGCCCCTGCCAAAGGTTGTGTATCCTTGCCTCGCCTTATAGCGTGCGCCCTGCCCAATTTCTGAGGTGGAACCAGCTTGTTCACAACTTCAGCAGCACTAACCCTGTACTGAGCTTCTGACCTCGTATTTGCATTCTCACACAAAGACCACCCACTTCCATCTTTATAATATCATGTTCAGCTAAGCTGTGTGAAAATCCTCATTCATGCCTTTGTTACCTTCAGACTCACTCACTCTGATGTTCTCCTGGTAGACCTTGCATCATCCACTCTCCATAAATTTCAACTTATCCAAAACTTTGTTGCCCATATCTGAGCTCAAATTGTGTGCTGTTCATCCATCTCCTGGTTTTTGTGGTGACAATTTTTAAAAAAAGCAAAAATCATTCTTATTTTAAAACTTACTCTGACCAGTTGTCTCCCAGTTTGTAATCTCCTCCAGCCCCATAACCCTCTGAGATATCATTGCTGCTCCGATTCTGACCTATTTTAGATCCCTGATTTGAATGGCTCCACCATGGGTGAAGTCTGTAATCTCTGGAATTCCCTGCTTAAACCCCTCTGCCTCTCTTGCCTCCTTCAAGAGCCTCCTGAAAACCTAGCTTTTGACCAAGCTTTTGGTGGTCATGATATTTTCTCCTTTTGGTTCAAGGTCAGTCTTACTTTGATTACATCTCTGAAGTAATGTAGAATATTTTTTGTATATTGTATGTATTGTTCATGTTGCAGTTCCCTCGAATTGTTTTGTGGTTGATGGTGGAGCTGGCGATCATTGGCTCGGACATGCAGGAAGTGATTGGATCAGCCATAGCTATTAACCTGCTGACTGTTGGAAGGTAAAGTGCAAACACTGATCATTACATAATTATTAGGAGCTACCAAAGCAGCAACAAGGCCAGTGTAAAAATGTAACTGTGCTTTTCTGTGTTAATGACTAAGGACTGTTGGCCTAGTTTGGTTTGTTCCAGACTAATTCGTTAGAAGTGACTTCTAGCAAGGAACTAAATGACACAGCAGTAACCTCTGATCCTGGGTTCAAGAAAAACTAGAATGGATGTCTTTGCTGTTCGCAGGGGTCCTATATGAAGTGGCTTGGTCAGTTTTGTTCCAGTTCTTTGTGAACTAAATCCAGTGCAAGGTTTGGCTAATTCAGCAGGAATTGGCATTCTGCCTCTGAAAAGCCAAGGTGTACGAAATGGAAACAAATATTTCAGTGGTTCAAGAGGGGAAAGCCTTTGAGATGAGGGGTGAAACAAGCTATGAGCACAGAGTGAAGGGAGCTTTACTCTGTATCTGACCCCAGGCTGTACCTGTCCTGGGAGTGTTTGTTGGGGGATAGTGTAAAGGGAGTTTTGCTCTCTATCTAACCTAGTGCTGTACTGTTCTGGAAGTGTTCGATATGAATACTGAGCGCATGTAATGGGAGAAGTTCTAGTCTAAAGCAATCATAATATTAACCTTTAGTATGTTTTGAACTTGCAGTAATCACATCACGAATATTGTCACAGATAAGAAGAGCATAGCCTATTAGGGTATCTGCTGCAATTCAGTAATACAGCAAATCCGTTGTTGTGGAAGGATACCTCCGCTGTTGCTCAGCGATCGTACTGGCCTTTGAGTTAAACATTGTGGGTTGAAGCCTCACTGAAGCACACAATTAAAGATAATAGTTCAGTGCAGTAATGAGGGAATGCTGCACTGTTGGAAGTGACATTATTGTAATTGGATCTTGAATCAAGATCCAGTCTGCTTGTTTAGTTAGGTACTATCGGAAGGCACCTTGGGAAAATGAGCACAGAAATCTCTTGGTGTTATAGGCTAATTTTCTCCCACAACCACCTTGGCCAAAGAACAGATGATCTGGGCACTCGTCACATTGCTGTTTGTTGGGAGCTTGCTGTGCGCGAATTGGCTGCTGCTTTTTCATTACAACAGTGACTGTGTTTCAAAGGTACTTCGTCCCAAAGGGCTTTACAGCCAAAGAGCATTACATGGCGCAATAGAAGTGCAAGTTCCTTGCGTTATTTGCTGGCAGCTGTTCCTGCACTTGGGCCTTCATATAAGTTTCTGGATTTTAAAAGTGCAGCTTCAATCCACTTGATTTATTTTTCTGCAAAGCTCAAAGTGCTAGCATGTATCTTATGCTCTGGCTGATTTCACATTGTTTCATGTTTAGATTCTGGGCAGTTAGTGAACTTTGAATGAGATGAAACATCGATTTTTGTTGTTATTTTTGTAGAGTAATACTAGGCCAAGTTTTCTTGATCAAGAATGGTAGAACATTATAGAAACAGATCATATACCCCATTGATTTCATGCCTATATTCCTCTTAATGGCCATCTTGTCTCATCTGACTGCATGAAAAGTACTAATGATCTTCAACAAGTGAATATTGAGAAAGATTCAGAAATTGTAAAACAGAGGGGTCACTTTGAAAGGCAGCTGTCATTTAGTTCATGCATATCTAATATTGGGTTCTACCATTTTGAGGGCAACTGTTGAAAGTACTTAATTTTGAGACGTCCAGGTGAAGGGCCCCAAGTCCACAGTGCAGGGCACCAGCAAGGCTGATGTGTGTGAGAGAGAGATGGGATCACTCGGGCAGTAGCAGTACTTCCATGACACCAAGGTTAGATTTTTAAAAGCTATCAATGTAGGAGGAAGGAAACACCGAGGCAGCTGATTTAGAGGAAGAGGCATTTGCCTTCAGGAGTAGGAAATAATTGGAAGTTGAATGAAACGGCACTAACTCTTGCTCTGCCAGCTGGACAAGGGCACAGTTGGTCCAAGCCCATACAGGTCCATGTTATGAGAGGAATCATGCAGAGTGCTGGGGCAAATCCAGCAGGGAAGGAGGGAAATTCTGTAAAGATATATAAAGGTGTTGCTGTTTCAATTTTTTTTTTCTCCTTTTGTAGAGTAAATGTCTTCTTTTCCCTTTGTGTGTTTAGGATTCCCCTGTGGGGCGGAGTATTAATAACTATTGTAGACACGTTTGTGTTCCTGTTTTTGGACAAATATGGTAAGTTTGACAGACAAAATGACGGTGGCTGAGTGACTGAACATGGTGGGGGTCAAGGGTGAGGATGTCAGGGAGGGAGTGACTAAGGAGTAGCATTGGGAGTGGTGGACTGAATGAGAACATTGGGGTTGGGGTGAGGGTGACAGACTACAGTGGGGTCAGGACCAAAATTTAAATGGGAGTGTTGAGAACCGACTGAATCCAATCATGGTGGGGAGTGACAGTCCACCTGCTGGTATAGGGAGAGTGATTGATTAAATTTGGTGGTGGTTTGTGGGTTGGTTGATTAAAAAGCATGAATATATATGGTATGATCGAGCCCGTACAGTTGACTGCTGATCTGATATTTTCTGGAGATCATGCACATTAACAATACCAACATTTTATGCATTAATTGAATGATCCAGTTCTAGAGTGGCACTGGAAGAATCTGGGAATAAGATAATCAGCTCTTGTGAGAGATGTGTAGGACAAGCTGGGATTTTTTCGGAGATTGTAGAGTGCTGTCAGGATCAGGGCAGGCCCTAATTCTCAAAAGCTTTTTCAGAATTAGCCTTAATGTCAATGCTACATGGATCGTAACAAAGGTGCTGAAAACTAGGAGTAAATAGCTGGAGCTTGGATTGTATCCAGGATTTATCCTGTGACCCTCCGATTTGTCTTAGGTTAGAGGAAAGATTCCCTGACCCATGCTTTCTGAAAAGAGGTGAGATCTGTTGTTCACCATCACCTCTGCTATTGGAGGTTTTCATTAACCCTCTGGATGGCATTTAAAGGAACAGACTTGGAGTATCTGCTCTAGGTATTTCTGTTAAATACAGCGAAACTCCCATTTGTAAGTAATATTACATTTTAGGCATACTCAACTGGAGGTTTCATGGGCTCTACCTTCTATCTAGCCTAACACATACCTTGATTGTGGTGACAACAGAAGCTGGCATTTTCGTTTTGGTTGGAACATGCAGTTGATTTTTTTTTTCTGTCCTAATGGATGCCGAATCCAGCTTGGGATGCTGCCCTTCTGGACGATGCTGACAGAGGGCATTAGGGGTCTCTTCATTGACAGCGAAATGCCAGTGTGGGCGAAGCTTGTGCAATATAAAACATGAGGCAAAGCTGCTCCCTGTGCTTCAGAATCTCCGGGTAAGCAACACAAGTGCTTCATCCTGTGTGAAACTTCTAGAACTGAGGCACGAGAGGAACAGTGGGTTATGTTCCACATTGACTTTGCAGTTTGAATATGCACTCACTGATTCAGCCTGGTGCGTGTTACGTATGGTGGATGACTAGAACCGCTGGCAAGACAAGAGCTGTCCTGTGGAGGTCCTTCCTTCACATTGTGTTCTTTGACAGCATTACCTGACGGCCTTGTGTAAGAACATGTCCTCATGTTTTTGTGTTGCCTGCTCCAGGAGAGCTCAAATTGACCTTTGTCAACTGTACAACAATTAACTTGTGACTGTTCTTTCATGGGATGATAAATGAGGACTCTCCAAGTCAATATGATTTCAAAATGACGTGGGTGTTGAAAGGAACTTGGAGCAAAGTCAACTGTCTGGCGTACTCTGCTGTCCAATACTTGGACTAGGTAGTTGTTTAGTCTGTTGTTGAAGACTCAGCCGCCAATTCTTTTAGAAACTTTCAAACATGGGATGAGCTTTTGTACATGTTAAGTACATGTCTGATGACAAAAAAAAACAAAATCTTGCAAGGCTGCCAAAATCAGGGCTGTACTCTATCACGTGTTAGGGGGCTCTGCTGACAGCAGCAACGATGACTAGCATTATGTAGAGCTGGATGAACACAGCAGGCCAAGCAGCATCGTAGGAGCAGGAAGGCTGACGTTTCGGGCCTAGACCCTTCATCGGAAAAAAGGAATTTATAAAGTGCCACATTGACTGTTCAAAATGCACACAATTTATAGAGTCAGTCAATGTGGCACTTTATAAATTCCTACTTCAGAAACAAAACCGGTCTGACTCCAAACGGATTCTAAACGAGGTCTCCCACCTTTTAACATGCATTGTCTGACCTAAAATGTCACCTTTTTTTTTTACACTGATAAAACCTTTAGTTCTCTCAGGGCAGTGGACTTGAAAGGAATTTGGGAATTTACATATTAATCAATTAAAACCTTCTATCTGATTAAAGATTTAACAGCATCTTAGGTTTGTTTAGTACATTCTCATCTATGGTGTGAATTTTTTTACTGGTACTACCTCTCTTACTAACACCTGAAGAAGGACTGAGGCTCCGAAGGCTTGTGATAGCAAATAAACCTGTTGGACTATAACCTGGTGTCATGTGATTTCTGACCTGCACTGAGGCCTGTAGTGTGAACAATGAGGAGTTGCATAATTGGATGAGATCATCCACAGGTTGCTGCTTGCCAATAAAGGGAGTAGACTGATTATGTTTCTTAACTTGAAGGAGCACTGTTGCTATGAGATGTGCTGCAATTCACCTGAAAACTGAACACAATGCAGAAACTTCACTTCTTAAACAACCTGTTTGAGATCCTGCAAATGAGGGTGGCCTGTTTTGGCTCAAAGGTCAACCTCCTGTTAAAGCCCCTGTTTTTAAATGACATGGGTGGAAGTAGGAGAGTTCAGTAGGTGCATGGTTCCAGCCTGGGCTATCATGTTCCTGCTCTGATGCATATGCTACAGAAAGCATGAAAAAAATCAATGTTCTTTTGTAGCCTCTGTTTTTTAAAAAAAAACAGAGAAACTTTCCCCTTTTTCTCAAAACTTGCATTGCGCAAAGATCCCATTGAACAGTTCATCTTGATGCATCCTGCCATCACTAACGGCGCAGAAATTTCTTTGCGATACCCTTGTAGAGGGAATGAGATTGATTTGAGTATATACTGCTTTGTTGCTGCTCCTTTGGTATTTGCTTCCTGTTCATAACTGCTGGAGTGTTTCCAGGCTACAGCAATGTGCAGCCACATAGAGGACAAGACAGGTGGGATAGCTTCCATGTTGCAACTAGTGCAATATGAGAACATGGGGACATAAGAGTTAGGAGTAGGAATAGACCATTTGGCTACTTGAGCCTGCTCTGTCCTTCATTAAGATCATGGTTGGTGTGATTACGGATTACCTATGCTGTTCTGCCTTTTTCCCCCAAAACCCTTGACTCATTGTAGATCAAAAATTGTCTAACTCAGCCTCGCGTGTCATCAATGACCCAGCCTCCTCTGTTCCATGGGGTAGAGAATTCCAAATACTCGGAATTCAGAAGACATTTCTCCTCATCACTGTCTCAAATGGGTGACCTGTTATTTGGACACTGTGCCCTCAAGTTATGGCCTTGGTCATCCCCTCAGCATCCAGCTTGTCAAGACCCCTTAGAATCTTCTGTTTCAATAATATTATCTGTCATTCTTCTAATCTCCAATGGCTATGGCCCAATCTGCTCAACTGTTTCTCATAACAACCCATTCATCCTAGGAGTAAGCCCAGTGAACATTTCCTGGGCTGCCTCCAATGCAAATGTATTCATCCCTTTTGGGTAAGGGGACCAAACCAATACGCAGTTGTTGATGTGGTCTCACCAATATCCTGTACAGTTATAACAACTTCCCACATTTTATACTCCAATCCCCTTAGAATAAAGGCAACTTTCATTTGCCTTTCTAATTATTACTGTATCTGCCTGCTGACTTGTTTTCTGTAATTCATGTACAAGGGCATCCAGATCCCTCTGCACTGCAGCATTCTGCAGTCTCTGTCTATTTAAATAATAATCTGCTTTTCTGTTTCATCTGTCAAAGTGGACGACCTCCCATTTTTCCACACGTATAGCCAATTTATCAAATTTATTTATATTGCTTTTCAGGCTGTTTGCATCCTTCTCTCAACTTGCCTTTGGACTTACTAAAAGCAAATTAGTGTGGATACAGGAGATCTGAAATTTATAAAAAAAAAAAAAAAAAAGTACTGGAGAAACTCACGAGGTCTGGCAGCATCTGTGGGGAGAGAAACAGTTAACATTTCAAGTCCAATAACAACTCTTTGCAACTGGCACAAGTAGCTTTTCTACCTATCTGTATCATCAGCAAACTTGGCTACAGTATAGTTAGTCCCCTCAGTATGGCCATTGTTATAAATCATAAATAGCTGAGATGCCAGCACCCAGCCCTGTGGCATTCCACTGTTTACAGTTTGCCAACCTGAAAATGACCCATTTATCTCTACTCAGCCAATCCTCTATCTGTAATAATCTGTTAGCTTTGTTGCTCGGGTCTTTTGAGTATAGGAGTTGGGACAACATGTTGAGATTTCACAAGATGTTGGTGATGCCTCTTCTGGAGTACTGTGTACAGTTGTGGTCACCATGCTGTAGAAAGGACATTATTAAATTGGAGAGGCTTCAGAAAAGATTTACCAGGATGTTGCCGAGAATGGAGAGTAGAAGTTATAAAAATAGGCTAGATAGGCTGGGACTTTTTTCACTGGAGCATAGGAGGCTGAGGGGGTGACCTTAAAGGTTAATAAAATCATGAGGGACATGGATAAGGTGAATGGCAAGGGTCTTTTCCCTAGGGGGAAAAGGGCGGGGGATTTCAAAACAATAGGGAATATTTTTGAGGCGAGAGGAGAAAGATTTAAAAATGACATGAGGGGTAACTTTTTTTTACAGTGGTTTGTGTGGAATGAACAACCAGAGAATGCGGGTACAGTTAAAGCATTTAAAAGACATTTGGATAAGCACATGAATAGGCAAACACAGGCAAGTGGGGACTAGTTTAGTTCGGGGACATAGTTGGCGTGGACTAGTTGGACTGAAGGGTCTGTTTCTGTGTTGGATGATTTTATGACTGTTACCTTGCATGCAACTTTTTAAAAATTCACTCATGGGGTGTATCACTTGCTGGCTATGACACCTGCCTTTTGGAAATCCAAAGGAATGATACATTATCTTCCCCTTTATCTCTCCTGCTTGTTACATTGATTCCCTTTTATACAAACAAATAGTGTTATCATGGTGTTAGT